CTTTCCCTCCCTCCCTGGCTCCCTCTCTCCTTTTCTTTTTCCCTCCTTTTCTTCTCTTTCTTTCTTGGTTGGTTGGCTGGCTGGCTGGCTGTTCTAAAGCAGCTGTTCTTAACTTCTTGGGGAGTGTTGGACTTTTTTTTAAAGCAATGGAATTTTTTACTTTTTAGAAAATGCCCATATATAATTTCAGGGAGTTCACAGACTTTCTGGAACCAGACACAAGTTCCCCTGATAAAAATTCCTGCTCTGAAGTATATGACTTTTCTCTCTTGTCTTAGAATGAAGTGAGTAGAATCTGTGACATAATTATAGCTTTCTCTGGGTCTCTGTTTCATTCCCAAGGGTTTTGCCATTCCCGCTACACTCTAGATTAAGGGTAGAATTTTCTTTCAGATCTCTCCCTTTTGTGCCTCTTATGTTTAGTCTATCACCAAATACTGATGAGTATTCCTCCAAAATGTCTGTCTCTCCCTCATGTATTCATGTGGCCTTTACCCTCACCACTTATTATAATGGACTCAGTGTGCTTGCCTCCTGTCTGCCCTTTCCCTTTTCCTAGGACATTATTTTCATCAAGTAATGTTCTCAGTGATGTGTTCTCCTTTGGTCATGCTCTACATGTGTCATATTTATTCAAAAGACACACTTTTAGGCAGAACACTTCTGTATCATAATATGCTTTTGCTAAATCGGTAACTCTGCTCATGATGAGCTCTCAGTTATGCCAGAGCATATATATTTTACCTGATACAGGCCTGTACTTCTTGACCATCTCCGAGAAACTAGGGCTGACAAGAAGAGACTTCGGAAAGCCTTAAGAGAATTCGAGGAACAGTTTTTTAAACAAACAGGAAGGTAAGTGTGGGCAGAGATATTTTTTAAGCTAATATTTCCTAGAGAACTGCTGTTAAGAGTGAGCTGTAATTTTTTCAGGAACAGTGACTTTTTATAAGACATAAATAATTTCCAAAGTGACTTAGACCCAGGATTTGTCTAATGCAACATTTGGGTAGTATCATTATTGGGTATGTTTTATGAGAGGCTGTAACTATCAAGTATGAGACAGCAAAGCTTTAAAAAATAAAAGATGAACTCCCCAAATCCCTAACTTTGCATAATAAATCTCATTACAATTCAATGTACCTAAACCTTTAAAAAAAAAGCTATAATATTTAATTTTTCAGCCCATATAACTTCTTTGTTCTTGGTTACTTAGTTCTACAGGTTACTCCCTACTTTATTAAATAATTCTTCATTTGCTTTAAATATATTCTTTAAGCTTCAGGATCTGCCCTTAATTATTTTATTTCAGGATTTGGTCAAGAGTTCATTCCTATTCTTTCTATCCCTTAAATAAATGTTTAGCTATAGCCTCTGTTTTTCTGTGTCAGCCCAGTCTCACTATGCACTCCATTAGTTTCTTCTAAATTTTGGTGTATTGTGAACAAAATTATATATTTGCATATATATAAAATCATGAGAAAAGGATTATTAATCTAGTTCTGGAAGAGACAGAGACAAGCCAGTTAGCTATCCTGAGCCTGTTTCCACAGTTGTAAGAGGAAATAATTAGAGTTCCTGGGATAACTTTGGGAAGCTATAGTTGTCATGTGGGACGTCAGTCTTTAAAAAAATTTTAAAGGGTGTAACTTTGCCAAAGTCACGGAGTTATTAGGGTGGCAGAGGTAGGAGTCTGTGATACACTGGCTCCTCAGTATTCTTCTCCATCTAGGTATCTGCCTTTCTTGAATCGCTTTGATTTCAGCAGCCTGAGGGCTGCCCTGATGGAGAAGAGACTGTTTTCTAAAAGCATCCTGAACGTTTGGTCTACTCACCTCTTAGTCAGTAACTTTCTATTTCAGTCCTCCAGGGCTGTTCACTAGGACTGGACCTCTCAAACATTTTGCATTTAGCAAGTACAGATGTAACCCACCTAGTTTTCTAGTGGAATCTTCAAGTTGACTGTTATAAGTCCAAGTTACTTACCTTTCTGCTGATGTTATCTAGTGAGAAATGTTACACGGTTGTTAAATCTAGAATATAAAACATAATTTCTTGTTTTCTTTTTCCATTTCCATTTTTTCCTTTACACAATTTCCATACAACTTTTACATTTTTTTTAACCTATCTGAACCCAGAAATTTAAAGAGTTTGAGAGCTTCCCAGTATGTTAACTAGTCCTGCCACATGGGTCTGCAATGGTACTTGGCGTGCCTTTGACATACAGGGAAGTTAGTTATGTTATGTGTATAGTATTCTAGTGCACCAGTGAGTCCTAAACTCACTTCAGATATGCCTAATACATGACTGAGGTTATATGCCCCCTTGTGGTAATACGCTTCAACTAAATGCAGAGGTAGTGCTATATTACAAGTACAATCAAATGGTTGAATGGCTAGGAAATATGGCTCTTGTTTTCCTAAACTATTTCATTGGGAAGGGTTAACTGTACATAGCTAAAATAACCAGGCAAATGGATTACTAAAAGTTTTAAGGTACTGTAAGTGTTCTTGGTAATATTCATCATGTGAGAAGCATAATTATCTAGATATGACATTAACAGTTATGAGCCAGGAACTGTGCTAAACACTTCAGTATGTTTTATATAATGAGAAAACTGCTTAAGGAAATACTTAGCAAAAATTTTCACTCTGGCCAATGAACTCTTGTTTATTAGCTAAAATGGAGTATGCAGGACCAGGGACAATTGCATAATGGCTTATACTATTTCCCTATAAATTAGAACATTTCTTCACTTAGATATGTTTACACAAATTAAGGTGGTATTTAGACACCCAGTTATGATAAGTTTGGCTCAGAATATTGAAGGGAGGCAAAGCAGTTATGTTAAATAATTGAGACAACATTTAAGAGGAACCCTGTCCGAAGATTTGTGTGCTGTTCTGAGTTCTGAACCAGAAATTTCAGGGCAGTATATGTAGTGTTAAAACATAAGTAGGTAACTGCATTTGTAGGGAATCTTTATAGATTAGCTGTTCTTTTATTTGGAAGTAATATAAATGTATCTTTATTAGTACTGGGAAAAGAGAAGGGGTATAGGTAAAATATTAAGTGTTCTCAGCCATACTAATATTGGAGAGTATCTGTATTTATATTCAGTGGCAATTGTGGTGACCTCACCTGTGTACCCACCCCTTGTATTTCAAAATCATGGTTGGAAATATTTTTAAAAGCAGTTGGCCATCTTTATTAACAAAGGAGGAAAGACCCTTCTGAGATCCTGAAGCAACTACTTTCCTTTAGAAAACATATCCTGACAATGTATTTTTCTGGGAAGGCAATGGTTTTAACTTGATGCTATCCAATTATTCTTCAAAATAAGTGTCAAGAACATCTGGTAGTTAGAAGTCATATGTATAAAAATATGTGCATCATCATATGCCTAGTCTTAGTACAATTAGTGTGCAAAGAGAACCACTGAAATTTAGACTCAAATTCCTTAAAAAAACTTCTCAGTGATTCTTCTACTATACATTAGCAGAGTTAGGTATTATAATTACAGGAAAACTTAGAAATATTTCATGTTTGTAAGGTTAACTACTTAGTTTCTTCTCCTATTACCATAAATTTATAAGTTATTTCTGTTAATCTAATTTCTGTTGTATCTTTAGGTTGATATTTTAAAATACAACTATCACTGTAAGGGCTGAACATTCTACACAGGCATGGATCATGGGAGAATGACTAGATAAGAATGCCTTGAGGGTTCTGGTTTTTATTTCCCTCGGAACTTTTATTTTCCCTTGGTATATGTTTATGGGCTGGATATATCTGCAAAACACTTAAAATATTTAACTTCTCAGAGTACTGTTACATTGAAGCCTAGTAACATGTGGAAGAGGGAGTGAATGAAGGTAAAAGGGAAGGGAAAAAAAGAAATGATGAAAAAATCAAGTGGAAACTGCTACCCTATACTTTTCTCATGTAAGAGTTAGAAAAGGATTTTTAATGACTTGTTTCATTAACTAATGGACGATATTTTCTTTTTTGCAGAAGTCCACAAAAGGAAGATAGGATACCAATGGCAGATGAGTACTACGAATACAAGCATATAAAAGCCAAACTGAGACTATTAGAGGTCCTCATCAGCAAGCAAGATGTGGCCAAAACTATTTGAGGTTCAGGAAATGTTTGTGATCACTTTGACCCAAGATAAGTCAAGTTTATTTTCCTCTGCCGTTCTTGCTAAGTAGTTATGACAAATGAAAATTGAAGCACTTTAGTGTATTAGCTGTTTTTAAGAATGGATGGCAAGTGTAATTATAAATGAGTAGAAGGGATTAAAAAGGGAGGAGATACAACAAGGAACAATATACTTGGAAAATAAAATTCAGCCTTCTCCAGGCCAGGGAGAAAATGCACAGTCAATATAATTATTTCAGAAAACATCTATTTTATCAAATCTAAATAACACAAAGCATCCACCTGTTAAATGGGCTGCTGGTTAAGAAAGTCTACTTAGTGTCCAAAGATTGCTTACATTGACGTATGGAAAAGAGCATAATTTTAAAAAATCAGAGGAAGAATATTTTATGTAGGAAGGAATACAGCTAGTAAGAATGTAATTTATTTGAAACTTCTAATAGATTTTTAAGTGATAAAAAAAAATCTACTACCTTGTTCCTTAAATCTGCTAGGCTTTCAGCACCCTAAAATATACGAGAATGTGTCACTGATAATTTTTTATTTCTATATAAAAATAGCACATTATTTTATCTGTTACTTAAAATTTTACATTTCTGATTACCAAAGTTCATTCTGATAGCATGTACTTTGTGAATTATCTTTGTCTATATAACAGATGTTTATATTAAAATAAAATATTGTATTACAATTTGAAAATAGGTATTTTGGATAGATGTGTCTGTAGTATATAATCTAATGTGATCATAGTTATGATTGCTAATCTTTGTTTATATATTTTTCCATTGGAAATTTTTTTTTTGAATGTTCCAAGGTCTATACTTTGTGAAGTCAAAAAACTTTCCCATGAACTATATAGTTGTTCTCCATTCTGTATAAAATGAAAGGTTTAGAAATTGTTGCTACAACACCTTGGGAAAGAAGCCAGGATATTTTATTTGCTTCATCCACTTTAGCGTGTGCAGTTATTTTGTACTAAACCAACCACCTGTTTATTACTTTTGCTTTTGTAAAAATAAGTAAAAGGTCCACATTTTCTCTTGTACCAACCATGTTTATATTTCTCTTTTCTGTAATGTTTAAGCATGATGTTGAACAAATTCACACTTTCACATAGTTTGGATGGGAAGAATACTGACTATTTCTGAAGCAGACTATTTCAGAGGCTTATTGTTTTCTCTGTATTTACCTGATATTTTATAAATCAGAATAATGTCCTTCATAAATTTGTTTAATTAAAGTCGTCTACTTGTAACAGAACAGATACACAACTATTTGAGGTTTACAAACTACATCTTTGATAAGGGAAATGGTTTCGTGACATGTATACAATTGCTATTAAAATGTAACTCTATATATTCTATAAGATTGTAAATATTTTATACAATACAAATAAAATATTTTTCTATTATATTTATTATTATGTTGAAACACAGTAGTTGTTTCCTGTTAGCTAATATAAATAACATAAATAACACTGTCAAACAACAAGTTGGAAGTGCTGACAATTCTAGGCTTCAAGATTTAATTCATGCTGCAATTACACCCTTTCATGCGGTTTGGAATAATCCCAATATTTGCTCAGTAGATTAAAATGAGTGCATATTTAAACACCATTTATAAGCCATTATTTTCCATTACTTTGTATTTTGCTAAAGCAGTTTATATAATTGGTTATGTTTGGCATAAAGGAAAAATTAAAACATTGCAGCATCTAGGCAACAGAGCGTCAGAGGGACAACTTAGGATATTTCAGCATTGAAAGGAGGGGGAAGGGTAGGGAATAGGAAACACTAAAACAGCTCTGAATGAAATTTGATAAGTGGCAGTTTGTTTGTTTGCTTTTGGTGAGAGCGGCATGTGCATGCTTCAGTGGAAGACATCTGGTGATGAAAATGGACAACAGAGGATCAATGCTCCTAAGGGAAGGAAGGGGACTAAGAATAAGAAAAGTGGGCATTAACGTCCAACACTAATATTACAGATTTTGCAGCTGGGATCTTTCTTTGCATTTGCAGTAGATAAACTCATAAGCTGATGACCAGTGATTTCTGCCACGGTGCCTAGAGAAAGATCCACAGGGTCAGTGTAAATGACTTCTAAAATGACATCCTGGGCATGGTGGTAAACCAGCATCCCATCTTCTTCTCTGCAGGTCAAAAATTTATTATCCTTGGAATTTAGCTGAGGAAGGCGCTGCTTACAAAATTCATCTCCTGGTGATCCCACAGGGGCAATGACAAGAATCACATAATGATAAGCAGTGTACATACAGTAGAAGTCCCCAAAGTATAAGTTAGTGTTGGGGTTAAAAAGTTTTTCTGCTGCAATCTCAAACCTGTATCTTCCATAAGGTGAATCCTGGGGTGGCTTCCCAGTATTGAATTCAGTGCTGCAGCTGAAGAAGATGCCTTCTAATTTTCCACTGATAGGAGAGCCATGGCTACCACTGTTATCCTTGACAGAGGGCTGCATAGCATTCCCATGATGTTCTCTGCAAGAGAAAATAAATGGTCACTGCTTGGTACGACAGTGGTAAAGCTACTGATTTACAGAGTTTAATGGTGATAGCCCTAAAGGTCAACTGTCTACTATTAAAAGCCTGAGTGCTCATCCATCCTACCATCAGATCAAGGAGAATGCATCTTTTAACAATTCCTATAGAAGGCTAAATTTTAGCCTTGACCCTAAGGTAAGGATGCTCTGCTACAAACCTCAGAGGTCTTTTACATAATAAATTTCCTGACCAGGAAAACCAAAGTGAAATTAGAAAGCTTATGGCTGAAACCACATCCATTATATGCCTACTGGATTTTAGAAGTGGCTTGGTGAAGAGAAAACTGGATTAACATATGTGGAATGTTTCTTTAAAGTATGCCAGAATTTAGATCTAAAATGAATGTTGTCCATGTACATTGGTACAAAAGCATCTTGTTTCTTTTTTTGCTTTAGTTTTTTTCTTTTTACCCAGACACAGTTTACTAATCAGGCCCTCTTGCCTGCATTTTCCTTAGAATAGAGCTGGTTATCTCCCTTTACCCCACTCTCAGATCTATTCTCTACCCTTTTCACCTTCCACTGTGGGCTAGGACTGTATCATCCAGTTCTTCCTGTTCCTTGGTCCCTTCCATTTCAGTTATACCGATGGGAGGCACAGTAAGAAAAATCCATGCTCTTGGATTGGAAGAATTAATATTGTTAAAATGGCCATACTATCCAAAGCCATCTACAGATTTAATGCGATCCCTATCAAATTACCCATGACATTTTTCACAGAACTGGAACAAATAATCCTAAAATTTATATGGAACCATAAAAGACCCAGAATTGCCAAAGCAATCCTGAGGAAAAAGAACAAAGTTGGAGGCATAACCCTCCCACACTTCAGACAATACTACAAAGCTACAGTAATCAGAACAGCATGGTATTGGCACAAAAACAGACATACGGATCAATGGAAGAGAACAGAGATCCCAGAAATAAACCCACACACCTACGGTCAATTAATCTTTGACACAGGAGGCAAGAATACATAATGGAGAAAAGAGTCGAGTCTCTTCAGCAAGTGGCGTTGGGAAAGCTCGACAGGCTCATGTAAATCAATGAAGTTAGAACACTGCCTCACACCATACACAAAAATAAATTCAAACTGGCTTAAAGACTTAAATATAAGACAGGACACCATAAAACTCCTAGAAGAGATCATAGGCAAAACATTCTCTGATGTAAATTGTACCAATGCTTTCCTATGTCAGTCTCCCAAGGCAATAGAAATAAAAGCAAAGATAAACAAATGGGACCTAATCAAACTTATAAGCTTTTGCACAGCAAAGGAAACCAAAAACAAAATGAAAAGACAACCTACAGACTGGGAAATAAGTATCTGCAAACAATGCGACTGACAAGGGCTTAATTTCCAAAATATACAAACAGCTCATACAACGCAATAACAAACAACCCAATAAAAAAATAGGCAGAAGATCTAAATAAACATTTCTCCAAAGAAGCATACAGATGACCAATAGGCACATGAACATATGCTCAATGTCACTAATTATCAGAGAAATGCAAATCAAAACTACAATGAGATGTCACCTCACACCAGTCAGAATGGCCATCATCAAAATGTCTACAAACAATAAATGGTGGTGAGGGTGTGGAGAAAAGGGAACCCTTCTACTCTGTTGGTGGGAATGTAAATTGGTACAGCCACTATGGAGAACAGTATGGAGGTTCCTTAAAAAACTAAAAATAGAGTTAGCATATGACCCAGCAATCCCACTTCTGGGCATATAACTGGAAAAGATGAAAAACATATTTTACACCCGAAGACAAGAAGCCACAATGAGTCGGTAGGAGGGGCGCTTCCGTGATATAATCAAATCCCATACCCTTTGGGTGAGAGACCCACAAACTGGAAAATTATTATATCCCAGAGGTTCTCCCACAGTAGTGATAGTTCTGAGCCCCAGGTGAGGTTCCATAGCCTGAGGGTCTGGCATCAGAAGCTGGAGCCTCGAGAGCATTTGGCTTTGAAGGCCAGCAGGGCTTGAGCGCAGGAGCTCCACAGGACTGGGGGAAATAGAAACTGCACTCTTGGAGGCTGCACACAAGATTTCACGTACACTGGGACCCAGAACAAAGCAGTGACTCCACAGGAGCCTGGGCTAGACCACCCTGTGTGCTGTGGAGGGTCTCCTGGGGAGGTGTGGGTTGGCTGTGGTACAGAGGAGGGACAAGGAGACTGGAGGTGGAGGCCCCAGAAAATATTGATTGGCACGAGCTCTCCGAGAGGTGGCCATTTTGGCACTGAGACCTGGCTCCACACAACAGCCTGCAGGCTCCAGTGCTGGGATGCCTCAGGCCAAACAACCAGCAAAGGGAGAACACAGCCCCAGCCATCGGCGGACAGGCTGCCTAAAGTTGTACTGAGCTCACAGCCACTTCTAAACACACCCCTTGACATGGCCCTGTCAACCAGAGGGACAACACACAGTTCCACACACCAGTGGGCAGGCACCAGTCCCTCCCTCCAGGAAACCTGCACAAGCCCCTGACCCAAACTCACCCACAAGGGTGCAAACACCAGAAGGAAGAGAAACTACGATCCTGCAGCCTGCGGAAAGGAGACCGCAAACACAGAAAAGTCAGACAAAATGAGACGGCAGAGGAGTATATTCCAGATGAAGGAACGAGATGAAAACCCAGAAGAACAAGTGAAGTGAAGTGGAGTTAGGCAATCTTCCCCCCAAAATAATTCAGAGTAAAGATGATCCAAGATCTTAGAAAAAGAATGGAGGCACAGATCAAGAAGACACAAGAAATGTCTAACAAGTCCTAGAAGATTTAAAGAAAATCAAGATGCACTGATGCTAATATGGCTTCAGTTGATAGAGCTTTTTAAAAAAGCAATGTTTAAAAACTGTACCCATGCCTTGGCAAGTATATATTTTATATATATATATATATATATATATATATATATATACTACAGTATATGTATATATACTGCATCAAAATATAACTTACATGAATTTTACAACTATCATAGAAAATCGAACAAAGGTAAATTTCCTTGTTAGTAAATACATCTTTTATACTAGTATATTGGAATCAATCATACAATAATTTTTTTCCATTTTCCATGCTCCCCCGTCTTTATCTTTTTTCTTCTTGGAAGAATTTTTGAAGACAGATGGAGCAAATTCTAGAGTATCTAAGGACCTGAAAACAGGTCAGTTCCCACCCAAAGGACAGAGAAAAATCAGAGAAATAGTGACCTCCAGTGGCCACCTAAAATAGACACTGGCAATGTTCCGGGAATCTAAACCTAGTACCAAACATGTATTTATTTATTCTATTGATGTATTATTTACTGTTAAACAAAATAGCAACTGTGGATCTTTCTTATTTCTAATTTTATGCTTAACAAATATAAAGAAGTACCTTTTTTGTTAAGTCATATATGGTCATTCCCATTCAACAGTTGACAAGTATAATAATTTGTGTTCTATCTCTCAGCTCATATTCACTTAATTTAGTGAATGGCATCTATTATGAATTATATAGATTGAAGGGTAAATAATTTGCCAGCAAAGAGAATTATAGACTGAACTTTATAGGATATTCAAACATAAGGCAGGAATAGTTTTCACCATCAAAATATATCAAAATACATGATATTGCAAAGTACTTAATTTGAAGAACACACATGCCTAAATTCACCTTTCTCTCTTTGATTCTCTTTGCATGTTACACAGCCTGGAGTTTATTTAGATCTGTAACCATGATCTTGATTTAAGAAAAACTGGAGAGTTATGAAACAAAAAAACCACAACAGAACTTCCTAATTTTTTTTCACATAAAATCCTGTCAAGAATACTTTAGAGTTTACAAAGTGAGATCAAGGCTTTTAAAATGACAAATTATAGGGATTGCTGTGTAAAAGTTTTAGAACCTATATCAATTTAAAAGCTTCAGTCTCACTTTAAAACACACACCTGCGTATTTACTCTCTTGAAATTTTCTTCTACAAATACGAAAGGGCCGTAAGTATTAAAACTACTTGTGACATGGAACTCTTTTGAATTCTTGGAAACTGCTTTCAGGGACAAACATAGGATATCTTAGAAATACTAATGAACACTAGAATTCAAAGGTAAACAAAGGAGATTTTCCTCATGAATAATTAACCCAAGATAATGGCTGAGAGATTTCTACGTAGGCAGAAGCCCGAAAATCCCACCTGATTCACCGTGTTTCATGAACCAGTCACCCTTTTATTCTCTCATTTTCAATGACCCACAGGAAGAGGAGAAAATTTAGTAGTTGGTATGAGACAGAAGGCACTGAGTTATTGGGAATTAGAGGAGTGTGTATCTGTACAAGACATGCTCACCAATCTTAACCCTGGAGGTTTAAGATCTTCCACTCAAATAGACAGGAACTGGTATTACAAGAGATCATGGAAAGGAATCTAAGTGAAGTGCAAAAAAATCCCATGATCTGATTTTTTCTACTTAATTTTTCTGGGAAATAAAGTCATAGTATAATTATTTTGAGAAGAAATCTAAAAATTGCTATTTCACAGAAGCAGACTCAAGAGAAACCTGAGCCTAGAATTTGGAATGGCACTTAGTAAAGCAAATCAGTATATATATATGTTTTGATTCTTACCGAATATAGTCAAAATATTCTTTGTGCTGGTTACGATAAAAAACAGAAAATTTAAGCATCCGTCCTGCAATCACTTCAGCCTTCTCCAACAGTTGTGTTAGATGAACTTTTGAATAGTCTGAAAAAAACAAAAAGTCTGTTATTAAAAATACATTATCAAAAGTATCAACTACATGCTTAATAAATTGTAGACTATTAAAATTTACTTTTAGGAAATTCATCTTAGTGAATAGGAAACTGCACTTAAAAAAGAAAACATTCATTGTCTTTGGCACATTTTTTCTTTCTACAAAAATATTTTTGTTATAGTTTATGGTTGCTTTTATGAATACCCTTGCATTTTTTTCACTCGTTGAAATTAAAGATCCTGAAACCAAAATGTTAAATAAGGAATACAGACTCTGCATAACCCGAGTAATGTCAATCAGCACCATAGTAGCCTTTCTTCAATCAGCTGATGAATCAAATAAAAGAAACTTGTAACCTGCAAGCAATAGCAAATAGAATTTAAAGGAGTAATAATAATAATGTTCATTTAATTTACTCCCTAAATCTATGAGGTTGGCAAGGTAGATTAAGTATGACCACTTTATTGATGCAGAGATTGAGGCTTGTCACAGTTTAATGATTTGGCAAATGTTCATAAAGCTAGTAACTTAGAGACTAGGTCTCTGGCTCCCAGTTGGTAGTTTTTGAGTACATAAGACTCGTGAAAGTTTAAAGCATCTCTCAAAGTAATCTGATCTTTTCCCAACTTTTTGTTTTGAAAACTGAGGACTGTTGCCAAACTCCTGTACTAGAATCTAAGCAAAAATTTTGGTCTATAAAGATTTTAAGACTTTTCAAACAAAAGCAACCGAGTTGAACTACTCATGGCAGCATAGTTTGTTTACTCACTGCTTCAGTGGCTCAACAAATATTTAGATCAGAACATGATGTACAAGGCATCATGCAAAATTAAATGATCAGGTTAAAAGATAAAAAAATTATTATTCTTTCTCTCAAAGAATTCACAGTCTAAGGGAAGAAGTAAATATATAGACAACTATGACTTATTATGGGGTTTCATCTCTGTCATGGATTAGCCTAGAAGTAGTCAGTGGCATTCTGTTTTATCTCCAATACTTTGCACAGTGCACAGCATACAATATGTGCTCAATAAATTTTGAGTGAATTAGATGTCTAGATTAAAAGACAATATATAAAATAGCTTTCTCAAAATTTACACGTCAATGTTATTGATAAAGCTTAGGTGAAACAGGCTCTGAATTATTTTAATAAACTGAAACAACAAGCTTTGAACAGCCTAAGTTCCCCTTAGATTTTACTCATAAAAATAAAAATGCAATATAATTTATAGAAAAATATTGTGGAAAAATATTGTGGAACATTTAAAATAAGCTGGCATTTTCCTTATTATTTACCCCATAAATTCCTTAGAAGAATTATGGGATGTATTTGAATAAAAGAGCAATAGGGGATCAATCTAAAGGAAAGAAAGAAGACAAAAAGGTTTTTCTTTATATACATAGAAATAAAACATGTATTCATGTAGTTATATAGATTATAGAAAAGAGTGAATGTGTGCATCTAGATAGATGATATTTCTGAACTGAAAATGCCAAAGGTCTTCCTTAAGCTAAAGAAAAAATACTATTTCATGCCTTTCCCTAATGTCAAATGGGGTTTTAGCAGGTAAATAGTAGCTCTTTTTTAAAAAAATTAACAAATACTATGATGCTGTTTGGTGCTGTCCTATGGAAAATAGCATGTATTAAAATAATGTCAAAAGATACCGTGTCTTTTACTGTGTCTACCTCCCTGGTAGGATGCAATAAAAGTAAATGGAAAGATGTGAAACATGAGGTAGATTCCAAGGAGGAATTTTAATTCAGGAAAAAAGTTGAGGGGATATATTAATTCTAATGTGACACACCAAATACAGGTAAACATGAGAATTCTTTACACACTATTAATACAGCATTGAAATCTTTAACTATTTAATTACTGATTACTGGACTATGATACATACTATATTTCATCTATTATAAAATGTATTTTTTTCACATTTTAGCATCTTTGGCATGAGTCTGACAATAAATGTGATAAGAAAACAGTTTCCTAGTTTAATTGGCAGTTTAATGTTTTCTTAGCAATACCTAAAATGGTGGATCTTATAATCAATGACATCTTAGGAAGAAATATGGTACCAGAGAGATACTATTTTCCTTGCTCTAATACACTGAGATCCTTAGCAATAAAGAATGTTGCAATCCTTAGCAACTTCCTCATAGAATAAACAAAAGGGGTTTGAAGATAAATTTGAAGTTAACTTAGAATTAAACTCTCATCCGTTCTACATATCCACATGAGAAGTTTTATACTGAGTTTGAAATTAAGAAGAAAACAGAAGATATTGAGATAAAGCAGTAGCTAAGCACATCCTGAGTCTGAAATAAATCTAGTGTGAGGCTACGGGAAAAAAAAATAGTTGATTTATCTGAAGGATGCCTCAGCTGGGGAAAGTTGCTAGGCAACCTGCAATAGGTGAGGCAAACTGTTTTTATGACTTTTTCTACAAGCTCCTGTGTGTTGAAACAGCCTCTCTCTCTGAGAGACAAAAAGAGTGGATGACAGATATGTTCAGGTAGAGATATTTTCACCACTTAAGTGCTCAATAAATATTTGTTTCTTGATTGAATGAATTTAAAAAATAAATGCATAAGATGAACGGTAACATTTACAACCCAGTGGGCTATCAAGGTACAGTTCAAGATCAAAGGGGATGAGCTTTCTACATCAGATATCCCAATCCCAAATGGCTATTAGGTACTTTTTTTTTTTTTTAACATCTTTATTGGAGTATAACTGCTTTACAATAGTGTGTTAGTTTCTGCTTTATAACAAAGTGATTCAGTTATACATATACATGTTTCCATATCTCTTCCCTCTTGCATCTCCCTCCCTCCCTCCCACCCTCCCTATCCCACCCCTCTAGGTGGTCACAAAGCACCGAGCTGATCTCCCTGTGCTATGCAGCTGCTTCCCACTAGCTATCTGTTTTACTTTTGTTAGTGTATATATGTTCATGCCATGCTCTCACTTCGTCCCAGCTTACCCTTCCCCCTCACCGTGTCCTCAAGCCCATTCTCTATGTCTGCATCTTTATTCCTGATCTGCCCCTAGGTTCTTCAGAGGCTTTTTTTTTTTTTTTTTTTTTAGATTCCATATATATATGTGTTAGCATACAGTACTTTTCTCTTTCTGACTTACTTCACTCTGTATGACAGACTCTAGGTCCATCCACCTCCCTACAAATAATTCAATTTTGTTTCTTTTTATGGCTGAGTAATATTCCATTGTATATATGTGCCATATCTTTTTTATCCATTCATCTGTCACTAGACACTTAGGTTGATTCCATGTCCTGGCTATTGTAAACAGAGCTGCAATGAACATTGTGGTACATGACTCTTTTTGAATTATGGCTTTCTCAGGGTATATGCCCAGTAGTGGGATTGCTGGGTCGTATGGTAGTTCTATTTTTAGTTTTTTAAGGAACCTATCCAGTACTTTCTAATGAAGCAAAGACACACACACACACACACACACACACACACTCTCTCTCTCTCACATGACACTAGTTTAGAGATAGATTATCAGCATTCAAGTCAAAAATCCAGTAACATATCTTCTAGGTAAGTCATTGCAATCTGCCTGCATTCCCTTAAATTAGAGAATGATGTTCCTGGCTTTTTTCTTTCAAGACTGTGAAAGTAAGAAATGAACAAAAAAAGAGGAAGGAAAAAGCTCGCTCTCTCTCAAAATGAACTGCAAAATATGCTGAGTATATTTTTATACTGTATCAATTTTTATTTGCAAAGCTTTTACTTTGAAAAATCAGACTGTGCATGTAGCACAGAAGTAATTAATGCCATTACCCAGTTTTTGCTGAGAACCTCCACTCCTTCTAATCAATTTGTTCTGTCACATAATGCTACTGGCAATGCAAAAATGACCAATGCAATACATATCACTTCATAATTATAAAAAAGAATGTATTTTCTATAATTAGTTTTCCAGGAACTATCAAATAAGGTTTTTTTTTTTCTGTATTTATACCCAGTTCTCTTACCTGCTGTGCAGAATTCTATAATTTCACTCCATTCAGACACAACATAATCACCATCAACTTGTTTTGAGGCGGTCTGCACTGCTACTGTATACTCAGTTCTTGGGCTCAAAAACCAGTGTCCACGGACAGTCATCGGCAAGGGAACAGCTTTTGCCACCAGTTTTGTTGGAACATCCTAAGAAAGGAAGAAAGAAAAGTAGAAAGAAAGGAAGGAAGGGAGGGAGGAAGGAAATGAATTAATTTAGTAGTATAACTTGAATCAATTGTAAACAATGTGGAGTAACTTATTAAATTCCTGGCTGATGACACAAGTTTCCTTTTTAAAGATATTTAGCAATTAATATGTTCAAATCTCTTATTCTTCAGATGTAAAAATTAAGGCCCAATTTGATCAAGAGACATGCCAAGATCATACAGCTAAGCTAATGACATAAATGTACTTGGATTTGTTTTCTTGATTTCTAGTATAATGTTATTCTCTGTACACTCCTTAATATGCTCCTTAAAATGCAATATTCTAATACTAAATGATAAAACAATACAAAAAACAGAAACATGAAATAAAAATTCAACAGATTTAGCATTTTAAAATATTATATTTGTTTAATATATACTATGCAATAATTTTTTCAGAGTAGCCCATTACTAAATATTTTATATGTCACGGGACAGATTTTTTAAATAAATATTTTTAAATGATTCAGTTTTACATACAAATGAGGTAACATTTGCTTTACTTGTATTCAAATATGGAGCCTAAGTGTCACAGAAAAGTTTAGGTATTTTTAAACAATGATTAATAAGGTAAATAAACCTGCTAGTTGAGTATTCACTATATTTCCAAAGATATGGTATTCTAAGTGTGGAATGAAGAAAGGGGGTCAAATCTTGACTCCTCACCATTTAATACTAAATATTTCAAAGCTAATTTAAGAAAGCAAATGTCAGCAAAGAGGATATCCAACACTAGAAGGAATAATTAAAATTGGAACATGGGAAAATAATGACATCAATCTTGTTCTCTCTCTCACACTTATTTGTGTGTATAAGCCTCACTTACCATTAGTATGTGTAATTACACATCTAGTAAAATGCATAATTTCCAGACAAGATAAGACAATTCTTCCAAAAGATTTGCCAAGTTAAAATTTATTATCAGTATTAAAATAAGATCAGTTTCATATCAGTGAAAATACTGAAACATAAGAAAGAATTCTTAAGGCAGATAACTATTATCCTCTCTACAGCTACATCTGAAGGAATGTATGTATCAGAAAAGATATGTGATAAGCAGACAGGTAAGAGAATAAATATCAGAGAATTGTTACATGTCTAAAACACCTAAAGGTTAATTTTTATTCTCAAACCATAAAATAAAATTGACCACATAAAGCAATTTTCAGCCCTTAGGTATTTTGACAAATATCCTACAGTTTATAAGCTGCCATCACATTCTTCATTTGGCAGTTATAGGGAAAAATGTGTGCTTCAGTGGAAAACTGTGAATTGACTACAGCACACTCTTCTGGCTATCTTCTGATTTTGTGGAATCTATTTTACAACTCTGTAATTTGTAGACTACTGATAACAATTCAGTTATTCTTGTCTAAGTACATGCAAGTGAATTTTGCCCAGTGGAAGTAAAACCCTCCTTGCCTGCCCTTGCTCTTCCCGCACCCCATACCAGTTTTGCCTCCACTTAAACATTTATTTCAATATCCTGATCCATAAAAATGTCTTTTTCTGGATCATCCTTTGAATTGGCTGTAATACCTCATCAGTTACCTCATTAATGTGTTAAAGAAAATCTTTAACACATGTTAATTTCTATGTCTGTATGAGTCAAGATTTCAGCTTTCCCAGAAAAAAATGTATTTTACCCATATATTTGGCATTTCATTTTCTTACACAATTTCTTGAAGGAATAGGGCTTTTAAATGACATATAATTTTTATTCTTCCCAATGTCAAATATATATTAGTAATTAATAGAACATTATTCCTTCTTTCAAAATGTCCTCATACTTAGAAAGCTTTAAGATACAAATGAATATAAGGATGTGTTAGAATTTTACCTTGTGTTTAAATTTATTGGAGTTCTTGTTCTCTTTCTTATTGAGGTCAATGAAATAGTGTGTAATACGGTCTTTTGATTTTGAATCCATTTCCCATGAAATCTTGAATGAGTCACATGTAATGTTGCTTATTCTGATGTTATGTGGTATGGGAAGTTCTTCCATCTCTGCTATGCCACTGTCTTGTGATTTGTTCCCTGCAAGAAAACAATGCACAGATAATTTCCAACTAATGGATTTTTTCTAGTTTGCAAGACCATTAGCTGTGTACCTGTTTCTGAACTCACCTAATTACTAAATTTGAGATTTCATTTTGTTCACGAAGTAATTTGAGTGTTAACGATAGTAAAACTATCATTACAAGATCATATTACCAACAAAATGCATAAATGAATTAGTCCTTATCACCTCTACGTTTTCAATTCCTTTTCCAATTTCTGCGTTCACAGAAATAAAAACAAGAACACTGGTGATCCATCTTTCTAATCTATGAAAGATTAGCCTTACATGGTAGGTTCTGCTGAAAGGCCCCAAGCGACCATTTTTCTTACATGACCAATCTATTCTGCTCTAAAGTAATAATACTAGGTGTTTTAAGCCAGATGAAATCAGAAATGTTGATAATGAAATGAAACAATCCAGTCAAATAAAAGCAATGTTTCTTTAAAAAAAAATCTGAGCTATCAGTGAGTCTATAAAAATTACTCTCCCTTCCCCCTTTTGGAAATTTATATATAGAAATAGCATGTAATGTTTATGCTACATACATAAATAATATCAAAGACCATTCTCTTAACAGTTACTATGTGAAGGATTACTCTAGGAATCTTTTTACCTGTTGTATCTTCCTAAATTTAATTTTGAATGCTGAAACAATAGATAAGGTTAAAAGAAAGAAAATGACTGCCATGTTGATTGATATCATTAAAATCTTGAAGAACGCATCTGACGTCTAGTTACTTTACAGACTATGTCCTACATTTCCAATTAGAGAAAATGTTATCACTTTGGCTAATATCATAGAGCAGAATATGATGGATGACAGGACAAAAAGAGAAAATATAGACTTGCCAAGTTTGTTTCATATGTAGGAAAGACATACTGAGTGAAATTTTACTCTACTTCTCCTTCCTATGTTCCCTTCCCCCAAGCCAACATAAAATTCAGTACCCAAGAAAAAAAAGTGTAATTGTTATTTATATTATAAAAGAAGTTGTAGGTCATAAATCAGCTACATAATTTTTTCCTTAAAAGAATAAATAGGGACTTCCCTGGTGGCACAGTAGTTAAGAATCCACCTGCCAATGCAGGGGACATGGGTTTGATCCCTGGTTCGGGAAGATCCCACATGCTGCGGAGCAACTAAGCCTGTGAGCCACAACTACTGAGCTTGCACTCTAGAGCCCCTGAGCCACAACTACTGAGCCTGCGTGCCATAACTACTGAAGCCCATGCACCTAGAGCCCGTGCTCCACAACAAGAGAAGCCACCGCAGTGAGAAGCCCGCACACCGCAATGAACAGTAGCCCCTGATCGCCACAACTAGACAGAGCCCACGTGCAGCAACGAAGACTCAACAGAGCCAAAAATAAATAAATTAAAATAAAAGAATAAACAAATCTTGATTGACAATAACTGAAAGGAACAACAATCAATGTAGCAAGAACTTCCACTTCCATATTAGCTTGTGCTCTCTGCCCCCATACTCCCATCTCAATTACTGATATAAATCTTTTGATATTCCCAGTCTTATTAAATCACTCACCTATGTTCTCTCATCCCAAGCTGTGTTGTGGCCGGAGGAACCCGATGACAGTCAAAGACTAATTTCGAAATAACTGAAGTTCTTTATTGTCATTTCTTGAACAATACTTTTAAAAATCCTTCTTTCTTCTCTCATGTATTCCCTCACACCCAGGCTTTCCCAGATTCCCACTCCATAAAACTCCCAGAAAAATTACTCCCTCACCCTTTTCTCCCTCCCCACCTGCCCTCGTAGAATCTCAAAATTGCTTCCTGCTAAAGCCTTTCAGAAGTCAAGTGAAGGGAAGAAACAAAGTGGAATCTCTTTAGTGGCCTTGGGAAAGGGAAAGGCAATAAATATACAAACAGTAATTTTTGTTCTATTTATAAAAGCTCACATTTTAACCTATTATTCTGACTGCAGTTATCTTTAAAATGTAAGCAACGTTAAATGAAAAACTTTCTGGACTAATAGCAGAAATTTCTGTACAAATTATATGCATTATGAGGAGGAATCAAGATGCCTGAGGAGTAGGATGTGGAGCTCACCTCCTTCCACAAACACATCCGAAACACATCTTCAAGTGGAACAATTTGCACAGAACAACTACTGAACACTGGCAGAAGACCTCAGACTTCCGAAAGGGCAAGAAAACCTCCACATAAGGACAAAAGAAAAAAAAAAAAAAAGAAAAAGGAGTTGTGATGGGACCTGTGCCCCAGGGAGGGAGTTGGGAAGGAGGAAAGGTTCTCACACCCTAGGAAGTCCCCTCACCTTCAGGGAGATCAGCCTGGACGGAGGGGAGCTTCAGAGCCTCTGAGGAGAGTGCAGCAACCAGTGTGTGGAAGGCAAAATGGAGTGACCTACTGCCACCCTGTGCTCCCTAGCCTGAGATGCTCATCCACTGGTATGGGTGGGGGCTGCGTGCTGAAGCTTGGGCTTCAGAGGTCAAACCCAGGGAGAGGAACAGCGTTGCCTGTGGGGAGACAGCCTGAAGCCGCTGGACTGTGGCAACTGAGGGTGTACTTGGAAGAACCTGGGCATGCCAGAGGGGCAAGTCACCATTACTGGGGGGTGCACGAGGACAGGGTGGGACTGCCATAGGAGCTTCTTTCCCTGTGTGCATGCTCTCAGGCAACAGAACACCAACTATATGAGCTCTTGGGGTGGGCATGAGCTGCTACCATCATCATGGGCTCCAGAAGTGGGCATGGGCTGCTAACCGAAACTTGGGGACCTGTGCGCAGGTGCCAATTGGTGTCCCCACTGTCCTGGGGGTGAGTGGGCCCTGCCACAGCTAGGAGACCTGGGAACAGAAGCTAGTTGCTGCCCCTGCCATATGGGGAGCACACATGGGGGGTGAGCAGGCACCAATCACTGCTCCTGCTGTCCTGGGAATGCGTGGGCCGTAGCCACCACTGGGAGACCCAGGAGCAGGGGCCTATTGATGCCCCTGCTGTCCTGGGGGCGCGTAGCCAGTGGTGCCACTGAGAGACCCATGGTTGGGGGTGGACCACTGCCCCTGCCATACCAGGAGAGCACGCAAGGGCCACTGCACCTATGCACCCCATATCAAGGGGATAATGGCCAGTACACACTGACGAAAGAGGCAGAAAGCATCCAAACTAAAAGTAGCCCCTCAATTCTGGACAAGATGGTGGAGTAGAAGAACTTGAGCTTACCTCCTCTTACAAAAACACCAAAATCACAACTAACTCCTGAGCGACCATCAACAAAAAAGACTGGAACCTACCAAAAAAAAAATTTTACACCCAAAGACAAAGAAGAAGCCACAACGAGTCGGTAGAAGGGGCGCTTCCGTGATATAATCAAATCCCATACCCTTTGGGTGAGAGACCCACAAACTGGAAAATTATTATATCCCAGAGGTTCTCCCACAGTAGTGATAGTTCTGAGCCCCAGGTGAGGTTCCATAGCCTGAGGGTCTGGCATCAGAAGCTGGAGCCTCGAGAGCATTTGGCTTTGAAGGCCAGCAGGGCTTGAGCACAGGAGCTCCACAGGACTGGGGGAAATAGAAACTGCACTCTTGGAGGCTGCACACAAGATTTCACGTACACTGGGACCCAGACAAAGCAGTGACTCCACAGGAGCCTGGGCTAGACCACCCTGTGTGCTGTGGAGGGTCTCCTGGGGAGGTGTGGGTTGGCTGTGGTGCAGAGGAGGGGCAAGGAGACTGGAGGTGGAGGCCCCAGAAAACATTGATTGGCACGAGCTGTCCGAGAGGTGGCCATTTTGGCACTGAGACCTGGCTCCACACAACAGCCTGTAGGCTCCAGTGCTGGGATGCCTCAGGCCAAACAACCAGCAAAGGGAGAACACAGCCCCGGCCATCGGCAGACAGGCTGCCTAAAGTTGTACTGAGCTCACAGCCACTTCTAAACACACCCCTTGACATGGCCCTGTCAACCAGAGGGACAACACACAGTTCCACACACCAGTGGGCAGGCACCAGTCCCTCCCTCCAGGAAACCTGCACAAGCCCCTGACCCAAACTCACCCACAAGGGTGCAAACACCAGAAGGAAGAGAAACTACGATCCTGCAGCCTGCGGAAAGGAGACCGCAAACACAGAAAAGTCAGACAAAATGAGACGGCAGAGGAGTATATTCCAGATGAAGGAACGAGATGAAAACCCAGAAGAACAAGTGAAGTGAAGTGGAGTTAGGCAATCTTCCCCCCAAAATAATTCAGAGTAAAGATGATCCAAGATCTTAGAAAAAGAATGGAGGCACAGATCAAGAAGACACAAAAAATGTTTAACAAGTCCTAGAAGATTTAAAGAACAAACACAGATGAACAATACAATAACTGGAATGAAAAATACACTAGAAGGAATCTATAGTGGAATAAATAAGGCAGAAGAATGGGTAAGTGAGCAGTATCAGAGACCTCTTGGGCAGCATTAAATGCAATAAATTCACATTATAGGGGTCCCAGAAGGAAAAGAGAAAGAGAAAGGTCCAAGAAATTATTTGAAGAGATTATAGCCAAAAACTTTGCTAACGTGGGAGAGGAAACATTCAGTCTCGAAAGCATAGAGTCCCATGCAGGATAAACCCAAGTAGCAACAGGCCAAGACACATGTTAATCAAACTGACAAAAATTAAAGACAAAGAAAAAATATTAAAAGCAACAAGAGAAAGCACAAATAACATACAAGGGGTGGTAACTTCGCTTTGGCCGCTGTGAAGTACTACCGTTAGAGGCTCTAATTCCCTGAGACTTTAGAGTCTTAGGCCACTTGAGGCATGTGAGGCGAAATGGTTCTGGGCGAGAGGATCAGGTGGTGGCAATGGAGGGGCCACCGCCATCTCAGGATACCCGTAGGGAAAAAGCCTGAGGGGCCCTCTCAGTCGTTGGAGACTGCGCTGTCTTCCTTTGCCGGGCCCTGCCTACCGCGAAGATGAGTTCGGCCTGGGTCACTTCTTTCTA